TCTAAAAATAATCTCATTAAAAATAAATAATAAAAATAATCTCATTTTATTTAGCAAATATAGCACAGCTAGCATTCAAAAGGATACCTAAAAATGTTTTATGGTCTCAGGTGAGAAAAGCTACACACTGACAAGAAAACCAGAAGTATACATTATCTAACATTAATAAAAAGACAAATTGATAATTTTATTTCTCCATTTAAGTCTAGAGACCTACAGAAGCTGTCTCAAGACTGCTCATTTCAAGGAGGCAAGAAAAAAATTCACCTTTAGTCTTTAAACATTTAAGACTTGTTGTGGAGAAATTATCAACTGTGTTTAGTATCTGCTTCGAGTAATAATAAAACTCATATTCTATACATTAAAACAAAAATCTGCTGAGGATATAACCTATATGTCTTCTACTACCACCACAGAGATGTGCATTTTAAAAATGTAAGCTAGGTTTTATATTCAGTAATTTTCCTTAGACAATGAAGGTGGGGGGCTGTTAATTCTTCAATTGAGCCAGTAAATTAAATAGGCACATTCATGAAAAAGATAGCTGTAACACTTTGGAAAGAGGTTCATCAGGTAGAACCAGTCTGCCTGTTCTCAAAGGAGCTGATTCAAATATTCAAGTATCTTACGAATATCTGAGAGTAGTAATCAGGCAAAGGAGGAATATCTAACTAAATAAATAAATCATAGTATTGACTAAGTGCCATGTGCTTAGGAAATCTAAACATAAGCTATGTTGCTTCTTCCCCTGGGATTTATGACCTATTCTAGAAAGACAAGACTAAAATAAGTGAAGGTGCAGGGAACAATGCCTCACCAAATGATGGTCTGAATGGGCCACAGAGTTCAAGTGCGTCATGTTAGAAATCTAATGTAATCTCTATAAACATATTAAAGGTGAAAAATCACTTGATCATCAGATGGGGAAATAGCTTGATAAAATTCAACAGCCGGTCACAACAAAAACTCTTAAACTAGAAATAGAAGAGAATTTCCTTAATGTTAGGAAATACCAAAAACACAAACATCATATTAAAACCTGAGAAGCATTTCCACTAAAAGCAGAAGAAAAACTAGGATATCTGCTCTCCTATTGGAAGTCCTAACTCGAGACAAGACAGAGAGAGACAAAAATTGGAAAAGAGCATGAAACTGTCACTTTTGCCTTCACTGAAGATATGACTGCCTTCACAGCATTGCATTCGATTTACTTCCTTTTTTAAATTTTTTTTAGTTTATTTATTTAATCTCTATACCCCATGTGGAACTCAAATTCATGACCCCAAGATCAAGAGCCACACACTCCTCTGACTGAGCCAGCCAGGGGCCCCACTTTTTTTAATTAAAAAAAATTTTTTTTAAGGAAACTCTATACCCAATGTGGGGCTCAAACTCACAACCCAGAGATCAAGAGTCACATGTTCTACCCACTGAGCCAGCCAGGCACCCTGTCAGTGATTCACTTCCAAGTGAATCCGCAAATTATGGGAGCTAAAAGATAGCTAAAACTGCTAGATACAAAAATCAATACACCAAACTTAGCATTTCTATACATCAGCAATGAATCTGAAAGTGTAATTTTAAAAAGGATGCTACTCACAACGACTAAAAAGTACCTGGAAATATAAATAGAAAAAACAAAGTGAAACACTATAACTGAGAAGACAGTAAAACATTGATGAAAGACATTTAAGATGTAAATTAACAGGGAGAAGGATAACAGTGATTCATGAGCTTTCTTTATGAAAAGTTTATGGAAAAAGATGGGAGTTGAGAGTAGTTGAGGAGGCAAAAAAAAAAAAAAAAAAAGAGGACAGGGAAAACCAGATGGGAAGGCCCATAGGTGGTCCAGATCAGTAAGACAGTCTAGTCAATCCAAAACAGAGGAGATATGTTGAAAGGCAGCAGTAAAGGAAAAAGGAGTCAGATGAGCAAATCTTGAAAATCTGATGTGCAAGTGGTTACCATCTGATGTGCAGGGACTAAAGACCACTGACAGTTTCTGATTATGTGAATAAGATAATTAACACTGGATGGTTACTCTGGCAGTTGCCAAGAGTGGACAGAACACCAAGGGTGTCAAGGGAAACCCAGAATAGGAGAAGACAGCCTTACTTTTCTATGGCTGATCAGACTGGAGCAGGAGTGCCATGTTTCAAAAAAAAAAAAAAAAAGACTGAAAAACTAGAATATTCAGGGAATAGGCTAACCAGCGTGAACCTGAAACCATAAAGAATGGACGGAAGAATCAGAGATGTTTCGTCTAAAGAAAAGGCTAGAGGGGGTCAGGGAGATAGAGAGAGGTACCAAGATAATGCTCTTCAAATGTGTAAAGGATTGTCATGTGGATTAGAACTGCCCTTTAGGGGCGGCCTGGGTGGCTCAGTCGTTAAGCGTCTGCCTTCGGCTCAGGTCATGATCCCAGGGTCCTGAGATCAAGCCCCGCATCGGGCTCCCTGCTCTGCGGGAAGCCTGCTTCTCCCTCTCCCACTCCCCCTGCTTGTGTTCCTGCTCTCGCTGTGTCTCTCTGTCAAATAAATAAAATCTTAAAAAAAAAAAAAAAAAGAAAAGAAAAAGAACTGCTCTTTAACACCAAGAACTAGTTAGGGAGACACTGACCAAAAATGATATAGATCATCTGAGGAAGTAGAAAGCCTATTTTAATGGGAGGTGATGAAACATAAACTGGAGGTCCCCTTAGTAGTGGAAACTAACGTGTCAGCATGTTAGCTGAACTGTAGAACCTAAAACAACTCTTCCAATTCAAAACCCACATTCCTATACCAGCTAAGCTGGTGTAGCTAGTGCAATGGTGGAGTAAAAGACACCTACTCTACAAACTTGGCAGTGGGGACATAAAGATGGAACTTTCATAAGGTGAGTAATGAAGACCCCATGGCTTAAAACAAGAGCTAACATTTAGAGTGCTGTGTGCAAGGCAGCGTTCTCTTTTTCATGAATTAACTTCATAGCCTTATAAGCAGCCTTTTAAGCAGGTACAATTATTGCCCAGTTTATGTTGGGGAAACTGAGGCACAGAGCAGCTAAGTAACTTGCCCAAGAGCACACAGGGAAATATATGTGCTAGGCATAGCAGCTAAATGATATGGAGAATGAAGGAGAGAAATAAATCAAGGATTATGTCAGTATTTCAAAATTGAGACAGCCAGGACTGGAGAACAGAGAAAGAAGTTAGGGGTGAGGCATGTGTTGCAGGGTGGGGAACAGAAGAGGTAATGGGTCCAGATGTGCTGGATCTGCGATAGAGCAGATGACAAGAGATGTTCAGCGGACAAGAGAGGACAGCCAACTGGAACTCAGAAAAAGGGACGCAAGGTAGTCCTGGAAGCAGCAGCAGAGGAAAGGTGACAGCATGGCAAGGAACACAGTCCCTGGGGGGGGGGGGTTGGAGGAAAGAGCAGAGTCAAGGACTGAGCCCTGAGAAAAACCTAGTAACCAAAAGAAGGGAAAAGCAGCCAGCACAAACGGGCGCGATTAGATAGGGCCCCTTCCCAGCTGCTGCACCAAGATACTGATCCCCTCAGCCCTTGGAGGGGCCAGCACCCGAGCCAGTCACCTAAACGGGTTCTTCCATAAAGATAAATCCATGTGTGTTATAATGTTAAAGAATGTCAGAAAATACAGACACAAACGATCCAAAAGCCAAGGGAGAAGGGATTAAGGAGGTCGTGCTTAAGGGTACCAAGAGCAGTAGCTGGTGCCAGTAACAGTCCGACAGGCAGTATGCACAGAGCTCCCCTCCTGTCAGGCTTCCCCTCAAAAGCTTCCAAAGTTTCCTTACCACTGTAGCAAAACCTTAAGGAAGCCTGTGCAGTAAAAGCAAAGGGCAGCAGGACCATGGGAACAAGTTTCTGAGACCAGGATGAGGGGTAAATATTTTAATCCCCGGAGGCATGAACAATGAAAGGAATAGATAAGCAACCTTAAATCCTAAAAAAAAAAAAAAAGGCAACCTTAGATCTTAAAAAAAAAGTAATTAATCAACGTCCTCTCAGTCTGTCAATGAGCTACAGCTGTACTAAGCTCAATGCTATCATCTTACACTTTGGGGCTGATTTTTTTGTTTTTGCTTTTATTTATTTATTTGACACAGAGACAGACAGCAAGAGAGGGAACACAAGCAGGGGGAGAGGGAGAAGCAGGCTTCCCGCGGGAGCCCGATGCGGGGCTCGGTCCCAGGACCCTGGGATCATGACCTGAACTGAAGGCAGACGCTTAACGACTGAGCCACCCAGGCGCCCCTGGGCTGCTACTGTTTTTAACCTGAGTGTTTCCTACAACTAAAAGGCAGTAATTATTTCTACTGACTCCTACTTAGGGCACTGTAGAAACTTCCAGAGGCAAAAGAACAGCCCTGTCTTTGTTGGGCAATTTATGTCAAGGATACCTCTTTCCTCCTAAGGATTTAAAAAATCAATTACCACCTCAAAAAAAGACAAAGGGGGCACTTTAAAAAATTCTCTTTGATAAAATACGTAACATCCCGGAGGGCATCTCCTCTCCAGAGCGCTCCATTTGGCCACCTGGAAGGTAACTGGAACGTTCACCTGCCTCTTCATCAGAACGAGAGGTAGGAAGCATCAAGATCGGAAGGCAACAAACGCTTGGAAGAAAGACTCGGACTTGGCAATGTTTGGCGAGCCCTCCGGAAACCTTCACCAGGCAACCTTTGAAATACACTCGGCTGTGCCAGAAAGCCAGTTTTTAACCGGAATAAAGAGCCATGGGATAGAATTTGTTTACTCACAGGAGCACTCATTTCCCCCCAAAACGAGCCCCCTGGAGGAGTTCCGTGCACACCGGGGTCTGACTCATGCCAGCAACCAGCCAGCCTCAAAGTCTGGAAGCCATAAAAGACCTGACGAGGGCTCCCCGAAGCCTCCAACTCTGCCCTTGTGTTTCCGCGCCTCGAGAGGTGGCTTACTAACTTAGAGTTCAGGGCTGGCCCTCCCGGCCTCCCGCGTTCCCAGAAAACCTACCAGCAGGGCCGGCTGGGGTGTGGGGGCAGGACAGGGGAGCCTACCAAGCCCCTGGGGCCCCAAAAGCTTTAACACGAGGATCACCCACTGCCTGCCGGGACGGCACAGAAGTGGCTGTGAAAATGCCCGCTGACACCTCCAGGTCTGAGGGACTCGGACGACTGCACAAGTACTGGCCAAGGGGCTTGGGCCCGGCAGACACCAAACCCCGCAGCCCACCCCGACAGGCGACGAGCGGGCGCCGCGGGGACCCGGCCACACGCCCAGACCCCCCGAAACCCGGCCCTAGGCCGGCTGGACGGGCCCCGGACCCACCCCCGGCCCCTCCTGGGCAGCTCCCCTCACCAGGAACTGGAGCATGGCGTCGGCGAGGAGGGCGCTAAGGGCGGCGGCGGCGGCTCGGTGGGCCGGTCCGAGCCTGCCTCTCCCCGAGCGAGGGGCGGAACCCGCCGTGGGCTTCCGGGTCACGCCCGGCCCCGCCCGCGCCTCCCGCCTCGCGTCGCCTCGCCTCACCCCGAGCCGCTCGCGGCGCTGCGCCGCCGCCTGGCGGAGCGCCCCGGAATTACCGCCCGGACCGGCCGACTTGGGGAGAAGGCCCGCGCCCGGGGAAGCCTCAAGTCCCAGGCAGGTCTGGCTGGACAGATTTGATCATTCAGAATCCAGGACGCCAGTCCCCAAATCCCGCTCCTGTAAACCTGGGTCGGGCCTGGGATCTAGATTACTACCAGCGCCCCAACGATTCTGATGCAGAGCCAGGCTTAGGACTCCCTCACCTAGAAGGACTGCAGGAGGCAGTGGATCCCATTCCTCGGTGCAAAGCAGAATCATTCGTGGCGCTTTTGCAACATGATCTACCCAGACCCCACGCAGAATCTGTGGGAGGGGAGGGGAGCTGTACGTTTCAAAAGTGCCACAGGTGTGCTATGTAACCTGCACTTTTGATAGAGGCTAGGTGCTTAAGTGGTTAAGCTAGAGGCCTTTGGAATCTGGCACAGCCGCGTCCAATTCATGACTGCCTTCACTCCCTGGCTACTTAACCTCTCTCAAGTTCGCTTTCCTTCTCTGTAAATGGGGCTAATTCCAGCTCCCCGTTGAACTGTTCTGTGAATCAAATGAGACAACGTGAGGGATCAATAAATGCTTGTCATGTGTCTGGGGTGGACAGTGAGCTCTAGAAGACCTCTCCTCATCCTGTCTCCACACAGAGCTACCCCATCATACTACGCGCCACCTCCTTCTCCTGGTCTTCAAAACCTTCAACAACCTCCGTTAACACACACTTCCAAAGTGAGACCACTTTGCTCTCAGCCTTCTGAATTCACCCCTTATCTGTTATATTAAGTAGAACTCTAGTTCCAAACCATAAAAACCAAATCATAATAGCTTAAAACATATGGGAGTGTGTTATGGAGATAAAGTGGACAACGATGGGGAATGGGAAAGGTGTCCAGAATTAAGCAGCATTTTCTCTCCATTTCTGCTTTTCTCCATACATCTGCTTCATTGTCCTCTCATTTTGACTTTTTTTCTGCCTTCCAGAATATGACCATTGTTACTGGAGTCTACTCATTAAATGATCCGATAGAAAAACTGGATCACTCTTCCCCAACCATTTTCAAATACCTGGGAATGGAATGCTGATTGGTCAAGTTAGTGTCGGGTGCTCTCTCATCAATTATAACCAGAGGAGTGGGATCTCTTTGAACTAAAGTGCCTGCCAAGAGAGAGATGCTGATAGATGGCTATAACACACTTCATTTTCCAATGTTATCTAGATTAAAACAAGACTCAGTCAAATCTTGACCAGTGCTCCTCAAATTCTAATGTGCATTCAAATCACCTGGAAATCTTGTTAAACTGCAGATTCTGATACATCTGAGCTGGGGCCTGACATTAGGCATTCCTACCTAGCTCCCAGGTGATGCTGCTACCAGTGACCTCTGAGATATTTTGAGCTGCAAGACACCACACTGTGAGCTCCATGAAGATGAGGATTTCATTCCGTTCATGACTCCATCCTCAGTGCCCATCAAGTGCTTGGCACAGGCTCTGAACACAGGATTTATTGAAGTTCCTTGCATAAAATCTTACCCCTTCTCACAGATAAATCCTGAAAGGAAGCCTTTTCCTCTAAGGTGTTTTCAAAGGTTCTTTCTCTTATACCCCCAAATAACCACAAGGAGAGGGGGGAAAAGGGCAGAATTTTTTTGCTACTTTGAGATTATTACTTAAATGTCCTCTGATGAAAACACTTCAAGATTCATGCTTTCCCTTTATCCCTTCAGGATCTCCTGACTTCCCAGGTGGTCCCCTCATTCACCAAAGCCTTTAGCATCTAACAGCCTTCTTTTCGCCTTGCCAAGCTATCATGATCATGGGTGACTCCCAAGGCCACATATACTTGTATTTTCCAGACTCCTTACCTCCGGTGACCTTCATCCTCACACCACTTCAGCAATCTACCACCATGTTCATAACCCATACTTTATCATCTACTGGACCTGCTCCACCTTTGAAGTATTATAGTCCCAAATCTTATTTCCTATTTTACCAATTCTTCTATTTTAGCCAGATCTCCAGTCTCAGCTGTTCCATATTCTTAAAAGCTGTGAGCTCTCCTCTGCCTTCACTCCCTTTCCAGCTGGTCTAAACCCCAAGAAATCTGAACTTCAATCTATGGAAACAACCAAGATGCCCTTCAGTAGGTTAGCGGATTAAAAAACTGTGGTACATCCAGACAACGGACTAGAAATCAGTGCTAAAAAAAAAAAAGCTATCAAGCCATGAAAAGAACTGGAAGAAGCTTAAATGCATATTACTAAGTGAAAGAAGCTAATCTGAAAAGCCTACGTACTGTATGATTCCAAGTCCATGAAATTCTGGAAAAGGCAAACCTATGGGGACAATAAAAAGATAACTGGTTACGAGGGTGGGGGGTAAGCGGGAATGGAGAAATGAACAGGCAGAGTGCAGAAGGTAAGATTTCTAGGGCAGTGAAAATACTCTGTATATTATAGGGATGGATATATGTCATACATTTGCCCAAACCCAAAGAATACACACCAAGAGTGAACCCTAGGGCTTTGGGCGATTATGATGTGTCAATGTAGGATCATCTCTGGTAAAAACATACCATTCTGGTGAGTGATATTGATAATGGGGGGAGGGGGAACTATGCATGTGTGGGAGCAGCAGGTATATGGGAAATCCCATGGGTGGGAGTAAATTGGAGGAACCACTGAGAAAAATACTGCAACGTCTAGTGAAATTTAAAATTCTTTTTTTTTAAGATTCTATTTATTTGAGAGAGAGAGAGAATGAGAGATAGAGAGCACGAGAGGGAAGAGGGTCAGAGGGAGAAGCAGACTCCCTGCTGAGCAGGGAGCCCGATGCGGGACTCGATCCCGGGACTCCAGGATCATGACCTGAGCCGAAGGCAGTCGCTTAACCAACTGAGCCACCCAGGCGCCCGAAATTTAAAATTCTTAATCTCCCTCTCAGGATTTCCACTTCTAGTTATGTAATCCAGAGAGGCCTTCCTACACGTCCTATGTCTCATCCAATGAGACACGTGTGATAACCATTGCAGCATTGTTTGTAATAGCAAAATACTGGGAATTTAAATGTATGCCAGTGCACCAACAACAGAATGCATAAATTAGGGTATTTGTAAAATGCAGTAACTACCATTCAATATTTATAATAAATGAGTATGAGGGATTATTAAAAACACAATGTTGAACCAAAAAAAGCAAACTGCAAATTGTTCCATAGTATGACAACACACATATAAAGACTAACAACCTGTAAAACTAGGGATAGGTTAAATGGGTGATGGGGATTAAGGAGTGCACTTGTGATGAGCACCAAGTGATGTATGGAAGTGCTGAATCACTATCCTATACCCCTGAAACTAATATAACATGCTGTTAACTGGAATTAAAAACTTAAAACAAAAAACCCTGTAAAACAATCCTTTTTAATGCTTATGTACACACACATATGTAGTGGAAGCATAAAACATGAACAGCAAATTCAACAATGAATTCTTGACAAAGCTTATCTCTGGGAGAGAAGTAGGGGAATGGGATCAGGGAGTTCACAGGAGCCCCAACTGTATCTACCACAGATTTCCTTAAAAAAATAACTCTGGGGCAAAGATGGTTAAAGGTTTGATGAAATTAGTTTTTTCGGCCGGAACCGCCATCTTCCAGTAATTCGCCAAAATGACCAACACAAAGGGAAAGAGGAGCGGTACCCACTATATGTTCTCTAGACCTTTTAGAAAACATGGAGTTGTTCCTTTGGCCACATATATGCGAATCTATAAGAAAGGTGATATTGTGGACATCAAGGGAAGGGGCACTGTTCAAAAAGGAATGCCCCACAAATGTTACCATGGCAAAACTGGAAGAGTCTACAATGTTACTCAGCACGCTGTTGGCATTGTTGTAAGCAAACAAGTTAAGGGCAAGATTCTTGCCAAGAGAATTAATGTACGCATTGAGCATATTAAACACTCAAAGAGCCGAGACAGCTTCCTGAAGCGTGTGAAGGAAAATGATCAGAAAAAGAAGGAAGCCAAAGAAAAAGGTACCTGGGTTCAACTGAAGCGCCAGCCTGCCCCACCCAGAGAAGCACACTTTGTGAGAACTAATGGAAAGGAGCCTGAACTGCTGGAACCCATTCCCTATGAATTCATGGCATGATTAAAATGTAAAGAAAATAGAAGACCTCAAGACTGTAAAAAAAAAAAAAAAGATTTGATCAAATTAAGTATATGACATGAGGACAGAGTGGGTATCTGCACGTTTATTACATTGATTCTATTATTTGTGTGATTGAAGCCATACACAAATCGTTCAAATTTGAATACATGATAAAAAGCAATGGCTAAAAAGGTTTTTGGAAACATAAGTTCACAGTCTTGCCGTATCAACCTATAGATTATTCATTGCAATGGAGAGGTGTGTCAAGCACTACCTTAATTAAGTGAGCAAGCTTAAAATAATGGGACAAACTGATATGTACCTCCTGATACGATATGCTGAAGGCATATCACCCACAGAATTGTAATATTCTTGCCAAAACTGTTTAACCTGAATTAAGAAACAAAAACTGTGGGACCTTTTCCAAAATAGCTTAAAAGTGTCAGGTTAAACAGCTTCTCCCCTGAAAAGGGAGGGGAACTGCTTCTGAATGAAGGGAACATGACAGAACTAAATGTAATGTGTGATTCTTGGTTTAATTCTGGGTAAAAAAATAAAAGTTCTAGAAGTACATTTGGGGGGGCAATTGAAATTTGAATACAGACTGAATATTAGACAATTATTTATTGCATGTTATTAGCAAATGTCAAG